ACTTTCTCCAAGTACTTCTTCTGGGTCAGAAATAGCCTGTTGGCTTTTCGATCTCTTTTGATCTCCATGCCAAGGATTTTCTTAGCTGCTCCCAAATCTTTCATCTCAAATTTACATTTCAGCTGACTTTTCAAGTTGTGAATTTCTGTTAAATCCTTAACATCAATGAGCATGTCATCAACATATAAGAATAGGTACACAAATGAATCATCATTTAACTTCCGGAAGTAAACACAACTATCATACATGCTCCTCGAATAACTATGATCCTCGAATAACCATGACCCAATATAAAGGAATCAAACCTTTTATACCATTGTCTTGGAAACTGCTTTAATCCGTACAAGGATTTCTTCAACAAGCAAACATGATCTTCTTTTCCTTCAATTTCAAATCCTTCGGGTTGATGCATATATATTTGTTCCTCAAGTTCGCCATGTAAGAAAGTTGTCTTAACATCAAGTTGTTCTAATTCCAAATCATACATGTCAACGAAGGCAAGCAAGACACGAATAGAGCTATGTTTAACAACAGGTGAGAAAATATCATTAAAATCAACTCTTTGTACCTGACTATAGCCCTTTGCAACTAATCGTGCCTTATGCCTCGCATATTCAACCCCTGGAATGCCATCCTTTTTCTTGAAGACCCATTTGCAACCAACAATTCTTTTTCCTGATGGCGGCTTCACAAGAGACCAAGTACCATTCTTGTGGAGAGACTCAATTTCTTCATTCATTGCAATCAGCCACTTGGCTGAGTCAGCACCAGAAACTGCTTCTGAATATTTTGATGGTTCTCCAATTTCTTCAGTTTCCTGTGCAACTGAAAAAGCAAATGCAACATAATCTCCAAACCTTAATGGTTGTTTACCTTCTCTTCTTGGTCTATGTTTGGCTATAGAATACTCCTCTTCTTCTGGTTCAACTTCAGGAGTCTCAACTTCAGGAATTTCAGCTTCTGTCTCAACTTCAGGAGTTTCAACTGTATTTTGCTCCAAAGTTGATGAGCTTGGCTCAGAAGGAATGCCAATCTCAATCTCCACCTGGTTCTGTGTACTCTTTCCTTTATCTGTATTACAAGAACTAGAAGACTCTTTTCTAGAATGTAACATAGAGGATTCATCAAAGGTTACATCTCTGCTAATTATAAATTTTGGTGCCATGGGATAAGGATACCATAGTCGGTATCCTTTCACCCCCAGATGAATACCCAAGGAAAATGCACTTTTTAGCCTTGGCTCTAATTTTTCACCATTTACATGCATGTATGCAGGGCAACCAAATATCTTTAAATCAGAATAATTAGCAGGAGTACCTGACCACATTTCCTCTGGAGTCTTAAAGTTCAAAGGTGCAGAAGGAGCTCGGTTGACAATATAACAAGCTGTAGAGATAGCTTCTGCCCAAAAGGCGTTTGTCAACCCAGCATTTGAAATCATGCAACGAGCCCTTTCCAAAAGAGTTCTATTCATCCTTTCTGCCACACCATTTTGCTGAGGTGTCATTCTCACAGTACGATGTCGAGCAATTCCTTCATTCTTGCAAAATTCGTTGAATTCATCATTACCAAATTCCAAGCCATTATCTGTTCTAAGCCGCTTAACCTGTTTTCCTGTTTGCTTCTCAATCAAAACTTTCCATTGTTTGAAATTTAAGAAAACATCACTTTTATTTTTCAGGAAATAAACCTAATCTTTTCTTGAATAATCATCAATGAAAGCTAACATATACCTGGCACCACCTTTTGATGGGGTACGTGAAGGACCCCAAAGATCTGAATGAATGTAATCCAAAGTACCTTTTATTCTATGAATCACTGGAGATTTGAAGCTGACTCTTTTCTGCTTTCCGAACACACAATGTTCATAGAACTCCATATTTCCGGTACTTTGGCCACATAAGAGACCTCTTTTATTGAGGATGGAAAGACTTTTTTACTCATATGCCCCAATCGCATATGCCACAATTTGGTGATGTCAGAATCTGATTTATCTGATATTGAAACTGCAGTAACACGTGTAACAGTAGATCCCAAAAGAGTATACAACGTACCAGATCTGCGTGCTTTCATGATCACAAGAGCACCATGAGAAATGTTCGGTACTCCACTTTCACCTGTGTACTTGCACCCAAGAGATTCTAGAGTGCCCAAAGAGATGAGATTTTTCTTCAAGTCAGGAATATGTCTAACATCAATGAGAGTTCTCACCACACCATCGTGCATTTTGATTCGGACTGTACCTTTTTCAATAACTTTGCAGGCAACATTGTTGTTCATCAAGATAACTCCACCTCCAATAGATTCATATGTGGTAAATAAATCCTGACTGGGACACATATGATAAGAACAACCCGAATCTAAAATCCACTCATTGTTAGATTTGAAACAATTATTAGTTGCTAAAAAAATAGTTCCCTCAGTCTCATCAGCAGCTACACTTGCTTTGACAGTGTCAGTATTTTTGTGCTCATTTTTCTTTTCTGTATGCTTTTCTTTATTTTTCAATTTAAAGCATTCAGAAATAATGTGACCTTTCTTATGACAATATTTGCACATGACATTTCTGTATCTGGATTTTGACCTTGATTTAGGTTTCTCACTACTTGAATCTTTCTTATTGGATCTACCTCTTATGAATAAGCCTTCCCTTTAGTTCCCGTTAGTTTCCCCAGTAATATCTCTATCTATTTGTTCTTTTGATTTCAAAATAGATTTGATATCTTTATAAGAGATATTATCATTTCCATAAAGCATAGTATCTCTTATATGTTTAAACGACTGGGGTAAGGAAACAAGCAATAACACAGCTTGATCCGCATCTTTGATTTCAACATCTATGTTACTTAAATCCATAAGAAGAGAATCAAAATTATCAAGATGAGTAAGTATAGAGGTACCTTCAGCCATACGAAAAGTGTAGAGTTTTTGCTTTAGGTAAAACATATTTTTACTGTTCTTTTTATATATAGGGTTTTAAGCTTTTTCCATATGCCTTTGGCTGAGCTTTCTGCTGCAACTTCACGCAAAACCTCATTTGAAAGATTTAAATAATACATGCTTTTGCCTTTTTGTCTATGACGACAAACTCCTCGTCCGTCATTTTATCTGGCATCTTCTCCTTTCTTTGCAGTGCCAAATCTAAGCCATCCTGAATTAGGATAGCTTCCATCTTTAATTACCACATTCTGAAGTTTGCACTTCGGTCAAATTTCTCAACATAAGACTTTGTTAGAGTCATTTTGGCTATTTAAACTAACCCGGTTAGATCTGGCTCTGATACCAATTTGTTAGGATCGGGAACCCGAGTAGTGCAGAATTTAGCCAAACAACGGCATAATGACAATAACAAAGACAATGGAAGTTGATAATAACGACAATTAAAGAATATAAAGAAGACACAAATTTAACGTGGTTCGGTCAAGGTGACCTACGTCCACAAGCGGAGAGGAGCAATTTCACTATACCAACAAGAGTACAAAAGAGAGTACAAAATTAGAGTAAATACTCTAATTAATCCCAAATACCCCAAGAGAATAACCTCACAAGATCACTCCAAAGAAAGGGTTCACACAAGTATTTCCCAACACTCACTTTCTTACAAAATACTTTATAATGAAATAAAGGAGGAGAAAGAAAGACAAGAGTGAAAAGCTCTTGAATTGGTGTGTTTGCAAATGAGGAAAAACTCCTCTATTTATAGCAAGAAATCCTTGGCCTAATAATGAATATTATGTCATGGCAAATGTCATGATCCACAAATTTGTTATAATGGATATTATGTCATGGCAAATGTCATGAACCACAAATTTGTTATAATGGATATTATGTCATGGCAAATGTAATAAAAATTTGGCCATATTACAAATATAGGTGATTTAGTACTTTGAGAGACAGTTAATACATTTGTGTTCTTTAATTGTTTTCACAGCTAAGAAGGCCAATGGAGGATGATTCATCTCATAGGACTGCGCGAGCTCAAGTTGGCGGCATTGTGTTAAATGCTGAGAAGTATATGTGGAATGGAAAAAATTGTATTAGCTTACAAATCCTTCAAAATACAAGTGCTACAGAGAAGTCCAAGAAAAAGAGCTTTGATGTGGAAGAAAATAGAAGCAATTAGCATATGAAATTGTCAGCAAGAACAAATTTTAATTTCATCACTTCTTTTGCTGTTTAATGGATATTTCCCTATCATTTATTCCTAAGAGATTCTCAATGTCAAGTTTGTCATTTACCTTTACAATTTAATTTTAGTATTTTTACTCTTCGAAGCCTTTTATTTGTACTTTCTATTTTGCCCTCATGAAAAATTTATATAAATGGTGATTTTATTATTTTGCATAGGAATAAAGAGGTTAGGGTTAGAAATCGTAAAAATAAATAGGACATGATGTAAATCAAAAAAGGATACACATTAGGGTGCAACATGGGACAGACTCTGATCAAGAAATAAATATAGAAACTAGTGTATCCGTTTGAAACTATACATTGATTCCAAAGACGAAAAGGATTGACAAAATATAGATTGATTCCTAAGAGGTGGGGCCAAATCTCAATTGAACAGGTCACAACTCACACCTAAGTGGGCCGTGGGCGTTTGGACATAAATTGTGAAATTCCCAAGAAAAATTAAGTGAAAATAGTATTTGAAAGAAAAGTTGTGGTTGGACATGAATACCACTTGGACTATTTTTGAACTTTTGTGATTGATTTGAAGCATATTTTGAAAAACAACTTTTTAGGGTTTTTTAAATTTTTGAAAAATTCCGAAATTCAACTTCAAGTGAAATTTGAAATTTTCACATTGATCCCGGAAAAAGTAAAAAAATTCCAAAAAAAGTGAATTTTTTTTTTGGGGCCAAACAGGCCCTTAAGTGCCTGCCCAAATGATATTAATGAAGATTTAAGGTTATTTTTGCAATCACTACAATTAAAATAGGAAGCTAATATGATTATAGTTGTAACCAAATCTAAATAGAGCCTGAAAAAACAAAATGGGGAAAAGAAAGAACAAATGTTTAAATAGATCGATGATTTTAGAATGGTTTCTCCAAATTTCACATCTGAAATAGATCATACAAGTAGCTGGAAATTGAGAAGCATGTAACAAAGAATCACAGCTCATCAAATGGTATGTTTTACATAAAAGATTTAGCCATGGCAAACTCTGCTATATGATGGTGCCTAGTTGTTAAATTCTCTTCTATAATCAGAAATAGCATGTCATTAGTCAATAATACAAGAAATCAAGATGCTCTTTGTTTTTTAGCACTTTTCAGAGAGGAAACAAAGTCATCATCTGAGTCTTCATCTTCAGAAGAATCATCCTTCTTCCGCTTCTTTGACTGCTGCTTCGATTTAGCTCCAGAATCTGGTGTTTTCTTTGTCTGTGTTGATAGAAAGGTTGAGGATGTCTTTTTTGTAACAGTAATAGATTCTGTGTTCTTTTTCACAGTCACAACAGTTTTCATAGGTGAACCAAGCTTTTGTTGTTGAACCTTCTTTTGTTTTTTCTCCAAAACTTTCTTTGCCAAGTCCTTGGGAAGCAAACCAGATTCCATCATCCTGCAAAAATATCATTAGAAGCATATAATAAGTTAAATCCAACAGCAATGCATGGTTGATGAGTTTTGCAGAACCACTACGAACAAACTTGGCATTAAAAGTTAACAGTTTCAAGTACACATTTTGAATAATGAGATTCATCAAGATCAATTTATGGTATCACCAATGGTCGGAAAAAAACGTTGAGGAACTACTCATGCATAGATATTGCTTGTATGGTTCTATTTCACACATTTATAGACTGCCGAATTCATAGAAGAAACTAGTTCCATTTGCATAACCTCAAAAGCTTCTTTTAAAGATCAGGTGATACGGTGAGATAGAAATGGAAGGGTGACAATTTGTATCAGTACAAAGATGAGAGACAACAAACATAGTGTTTTAGCATCAAACCATAGTGGCCTAAAACATTTGAGGTGCGAAGTCTCAAAAAAGCAATGCAGACAATGTCCTACACACTTTGAAGCTTTTTTTTTTCTTCAAAAGGACAGCCATAAATAAACCATAAGATTTCTTCAGAAAAAAATGAAAGATTATGGGGATCTTCCATAAAAATAATTGCAACCATATAGAACACCAAAATCTTCATAAAATATCACCAACTAAAGTCACATGATGTTATATCCTTTATAAGTGATATAAAGAAAGTGATGCCACTGATATTCTCAAATATCATTCTTTATGCATGCAAAAGCCATATGATTTGAACATAACAAAATAGTGAACGTCAACCAACAAAGTTCCAGAGAAAGCATTGCATGCTTAAGTTTCAGGATGAGCATACTTATTTGCGTTATAACCACTACCAACAACCATGACTACAACAAATTATTTTGAGTATCAACTTTATCTGAATTCCCTACCCATGCTCAATGACAAACCGCTTCACACACTACATCTAAACCAAGGTCAATAAAGTGAAATTATCATCTACAGTCAACTGGTTGACACTATCCATTTTCTCATTCTAGATGAAAACTGCAACGAAGATATAAGTTTTTCACCTTAACATCTATCATAGTTTAGGTGTGAAGACAACTGAAATTATCATCTACAGTCAACTGGTTGAAACTATCCATTTTCTCATTCTAGATGAAACTGCAATGACGATATAAGTTTTTGTTCCAGATCTTAATACTTGAAAGATGATTTTCCGAGTGTCCAAACTAAAATTGTGAATTAGACCGATCATCACGCGCTCAACCTCGTAGACTATAACGATGGTGGCCAAATTTGTAGTTGCATTTAACAAGCCAAAAGGGCAAAGTCAAAATGCATATTCCTTGTCCACTGGATACGAATTCCATTAGCAACTTCACTAAGCATTCAGTACTAAACCGACAACTTATATTAAGCAATGCTTCTTTGTTTAAAAGAAGGGGAAAAAGTGACTTGTAAGTGTGATGTGTGAGGGCTATTCTTTTGAACATAGTTCTGCTTATATCATATGTGTTTCCTTGGCTGCTTCCAGCCTACTTACATGTTCATGCACATTGATATTCAAGCACACGTCTCATGTTTCCACTATCCATTGTACAATAAGAAAGTATATTACCCATGCAATCTAAGGGGCAAGCGCATAGTTCATTGGGACTTGTGAGGAATCTTTAACCAAAAGACAGAAAACTCTTGTTTCTGTCTGATAATGAATAGTTCTAAACCACTTTTTATCCCCCAAATTCAGACTAGTAATAGTTAATCACTGGATGATAACCATATTTCGGATCTTCCTACTCCAAACCATAATAAGTGTATGACCAAATGAAAGTATGATCCAATATAGAAGTATCAACCAGGTAAATCACATATAATCTGTTAGGACAAGAGCAAATATCGGCCTTAAGGGCATCATAACATTCAAAGTTTCTCTTTTTAAAAGCAATCAGTAATTGAAAGAAGATAGAGACAGCTTGACGACCACTCAATAATGCAAAACGCAACAGACCTACATATGAATAACGTATCCAAAATTGTTCGAAAGGGAAAATTGTATACCAGATAGCTGCTAGTTCACTGTTGGGCACTTGCTGGTACAAGGATTCATAGAAAATCCTTAATGGGTCTCTCTGAAAAATCCAAAACATAATAGTATATCATATTAAAAATCTGAAAAGAATGTTCTTAGCCAACGCATTCACAACTATAAGTTATAAAAAAATACATACTTCCTCAGGAGGATCTCTCTTCTGACCAGGCAAATCATAAACTTTCTTTTCCCTTTTCTTCACATTGCTGTCAGCATTTTTTGTTCCTTTCTTCTTATCCTCCACCTCCTCTTTCTTCACAACTTTCTGCACATTAAACCCAAATTAAAACCATAAAAAAACACTCCATTTATCTCATTTTATGTGTGACACTCTTTTCTTTTTAGCCTGTCCCCAAAAGAATGACACATTTCTATAGTAGAAACAATTTAACTTTAAACTTTCAAACAAATGTCTATACTTTCTACACATCATAAGTTTCAAAAAAAATCTTTCTTTCTCAAACTCCATGACAAGTCAAACAACATTGCATAAATTGGGACGGGAGAGTAAAAACCTAAACAGAAAAGATAACAAACACAACAAAAAGTGCATAAAGAAACTAACCTTATCAGTTTTACTGGAGTTTTTCTTGGACATGGATGAGGATTCTTCTTCTTTTTTAAGCTTGAGGTTTTTAGGGGTCTTTTTGGAAATGGGTTCTTCAAAATCATCATCTTTTTCTTCTTTCTTCACCTTAGCATTTTTGGGAGGCTGAGATTTTGAAGCAGCATTGTTGTTAGGTTTCTTTTTGTTGTTTAAAAGAGAACCAATGCTTTCTTCATCATCAAATTCCTCTTTTTTCACTGGCTTTGAATCTTCAGAAGGCATTTTTCAAAATGGATGTTGAGAGAGTTTGAGAAATTGGTGAAATTTGAGGTGGGAGATGTATCAATGCACAGGTGGGAGGGTTTCTCAACGAAGTAGAAGACGTTTCCCCTGGGTATTTCATTTTGGGCCTGAGAAAGTATTCGGGTTCTGGGACGAAGTGCACCAATAGCCACTTTTAAACCTGCCGTTTAAAATATATTTACAATTTATTATATATTTAAATATTAGCCAATTTGAGCTACTAATTTGAAATTCAGGTGTCCTAAATTTTTGAGCTACTAATTTGAAATTCAGGACTTAGGGTGTGTTTGGTATGAAGGAAAATATTTTCCTGAAAAATGTGGTTTTATCACTTATTTTTCCTTATTTGGTTGGTGAGTGAAAAAATTTTCCGAAAAATATTTCTAGTGTTTGTTTAGAGAGTAGAAAATATTTTATTGAAAAATATTTTTTTTATGCTACTTTCTTTACCCTCCCCTCCCCCAAATCCCCATGTTGAAATGAAAGAATTTTTTTTTACATCACGAAAAGAAAATACTAATTTTGTTGAAATGAAAGAAAATACATCATGAAAAGAAAGTACTTTTTTTGTTGCAATTAATAAAAATACTTTTTTATATTATAAAAAAAAATACTTATTTTGTTGAAATTTAAAAAAAAAATACTTTATCTACAATATAAAAAAAAATTACTCTTAATAGTATTTCTATTTAGGGTGGGTGGGTATGGTGGTTTTTNTTTCCCTTCTTTTGATAGGGAAAGCATTTAAACCAACCAAACATGGAAAAATTGGAATTAGTGTCCAAAATTTTTGAGCTGCTAATTTAAAATTCAGGACATAAAATTCAAATTTTTGAACGCAATTTTCGATCTTTAGGACACAATGTTCTGAAGTTTGAACTTTGAGTTTAAATTTCAGGACGTCGTATCCTGAAGTTTGACTGAATTGGCTAATCATTAAATACATTGTAAATTATGAATATATTTTAAATAATATGTTTAAAAATGGCTAACCGGTGTCATTAAGTTTTAATCCCAATAACTGCAAGGACCAATTACAAACCCATCAACTGTAGAAAGATATGTGCAATTTATTTCTAACTTTTTACTTTTACTAAAAGAAGAATTGACCCAAATAGCCGCTCATCTGACCACTTAAACTAAAAGTAGTCTATAATATATGCATAATTTATATATTATGTATGTATAATTATGTGTAATCAATGTATAATCTATGTATATGACTAGAAAAAGTAAACAATGAATATACTCGGCTATTTGTGTAAAGACCCCTTACTAAAATGACACAAAACTTTGCTTAGCATCATAGAAAGTCACTTAATAATTTTTATAGCATAAAAATCATTCAACTTTGTCTAAATAATTTTCAGCCTCACACGACTTTTTTCCAGCTTCGATTTTAGATGCTCTTATTTCTAATGTCACTTCAAATATTGTTTAAATGACTACTATGGTTTCTTTTTTTAAATTGATTAATAAGAAGAGAGGTATATATAAGCTTCTTATGAAGGAAGAAATAATACTTTGAAATAAGTACAAAAATGTTTTTTCGTGCGTAAGTGTAATATTACTTATTCCAGAAACTTCAAAAAACGAAAAAAAAAAAAAAAAAAAAAAAACTGAAAAGCAATTAAAAACTGAAAAAACTGAATTTCTTTTAACTAAAAACTGAAAAAAAAAATTATTTTTTCAGTTTTTACAAAAACATTGCTTTAGAAACTTGCTTTTCGGTTTTTTTTTTAGTTTTGACAAAAAAATTGCTTTAGAAATNTATGGACATGAAAAAAGTTGTTGGGACATGATTTGATTAATTTTTTTTAAAAAAAAGTACTTAAAATTGATAGTTAAAAGGGGTGTTTTTGTTGATTGGTTAGTAAAACTCTGTTCTTTTTTCGGTTCGTGTAGAAGTAGAAAAAGAAGATCGAGTACAGGAGGAAAAACAGACACTCCTAAGCATTCTTTTATACTTTCCAGAACCATAAGTTTTTCCCGTTACTAATATTTATTAAAATAATATAATATATTAGATTATAATTTTATAAAATTAATATTCTGTCAGGTTATTTGCGGGTTCTAACACTAATTAATCATAAGCACATTGTGGAATATTTTTGGGGCCAAAATCAGACTCCAGTTGGGCGTATTTGCACCTATGCATGCTCGCCATTTGTCCTCGTATTTGCTGTTCAGCATCTGCTTAAACAAAATATTACTTTAGCTTTTGGTGACACACTAATTTAGGGCATTGCGCAAGTTCAACTGAATTCATAGGTGAATTATATGTGGATCTGGAAAAAACAACTATACTATACACATTTATTACATTTAAAATTGTAAATCTTAAATTCGTCTCTAAGCTTTCTTAATAGACCGAAAAGGGTTGAATTGTAGCCTCCTCTGCAGCATAAAGATGGTGATTAATCAGAATATAACTTTAGACTTAATCGGTAAGAAAGTACCTCTTCAAGTGGAAATGAGACACCAATTATACTTTAACTTTATACAATGATCAGATCCAACACTTTGAACGAAAACATCAACGGACTCTATGAAAAAGGAATATATCCTTTGCTTTTTTGTTTTTGCCCATTTCCTTACTGTCATCTTCGAATCAATCCCCTCCCTCAAAAATGTATGAATCCAAAAGAAAGGACGGTTTTCAATTGGAATCCAAAAAGCTAGAATTTATATCATAACTTATGATCAGTGTTGCGCAGAATTTTCGTCAAGAGAATTTTAAAAAAAAAAGTAAACACGCGAATAAACTAAAGGGATTCAACATCTAATATATACATACAAAAAAACTTATATAAACGATGTAATTTTCGGATGAAAGAGGTTCGGTTTAACCTCCTTCCGCCTACCTAACTCTTCCCCTTTTATGACCACACGTCGAATCTATAATTTAAATTTGATAGGTTTCTATTTTTAAGGTTTTCAGCACTGAATCATCTTATATTTGAAAATGCGGGCTCAAAATTTAATACCTGATAAAAATTTATGTGATCTTTTGCATATATGTTTATGTTTTGTGTCGAAAATACTGAGTTTAATTGAACCGTTAAAAATAAGCTCCATCTTTCTCTGACCCCAACGTAGACAACACCTTTCTTTCTCTATATATAATCACATATTCCCCTTTGCTCCATATAATCTTCAAGAAAAACCAAGGAAACCAACCTAGAGAGAATTCTGATTTAATCAGAAAAGAATTATATTTTGAGATCATGGGTTGGTTCATAGGAGAAAGGAGAGGAGTTAGTTGGAGAGATCAAACTCTAGAGTCAATATCAGCACCTCCTTTGCCCTTAATAGTTTTATTTGGGCTAGTGATTTTCTTGATTTCTATGAATACTTATTCAGAGTATAAGGCAACAGTAGAAAGATCCAAGGCTAGTTTGAAGTTGTTGTCTATTTTGTTGCCTTTTCTTGTCATTCTTTTGGTGTATATCTTGCTTAATAGTAATAGATGGTTTTATCCAGTTGGATTTTCAAGGCCAGTTATATACCATTTGGCTAGTCAAGAAGGAAGCTCTCCTTGGGGTTTGGCGTTGCTTTTGGTGCTGCTTTTGGTCATGGTTCATTACCAAAACTCATTTCAATCTACTTGGTTTCGTATACTTTGAAAAATGTTACTATTATAACTCCTTTGCCAAAAGTTGTAACTTGTACACGATTAGGATTAATATGAATAGGGGTTGAACTGTTTCTTATTTGTTTAGATATCTTATACTATGTAATACTTTCTCTTATTTGTTGCTGATATCGATTATTTCATCAGGTACCTATTATCTCGTTTTTTTTAGGGGTCGTTTTGAGCTTTTTTCTGTGGTTTGTGNGTAGAAGTGGTTGACTGTTAATAAGATTGCATTTTCTTTTCTAGAGGAAACAGTTGCTATATGTTTGTTTGCAGTACGTAGAAGAAAAAATTGAACAGGAAAAGAAAACGAGAGTATGCTCAAATCTCCAAGTTCAACAAAAAACTTGCAACTGAAACTACGTGCCTCTGAACTAAATTGGTTACATCTACAAGTAACGTAGTATAATTTTTACTATTACATACCTTTGAAAACTTAAAAAAAAAAAAAAAGGAATAATAATACAAGGGTCAAAATACAGATGACCAAGATCCCAAACAAACATATATACCAAAAATCTACTCATCTAATATATAGTTACAACTTGAAGCTCAGTTGACGAGGTCATATCACAAGAGGAGATGAAGTTTTTAATTTAGGTACCTTAAATGAGGATGTGAATAGTTTTGGAGCACCTGAGATACTATCACCAGCTTTTCGTTTTGAACTTCTCTGTCCCAACAAAAACCAACTATCTATCAGCTTACATAAGACATATTTCTCTGACATATTAGCATGCTCTTGGAATGAGATAAAACAATAGTTATATATAATCCTTTACTGAATCTAAATAATAAAGAATCTGGTATTGATGTCACACCTCTGTATTTATACATTTGAATTCGAATCTAGGTTGTTAACATATGCACATGCATTCGTCAAAATATCATGGATATCTTCTATCGACGGAGACCCTAGCCCCACAATCAAGAAAATACAGAGTACACAGCAATGTCCAAGTTACTACGGTCGTGCTAGCTTGTTATCCACACAATAGAGAAATCGTCTTTTATAAAACAAGTCATAACCAGGATGTTGATCCTGGTTGCTTCTTGAATCAGAAGAGCGGTTTACGTCAGGCACAGAGAACATGCTAGCAAAGGGAATGCTAATACATTCAATGACATCTCAGTTATTTCTTTTCCTTTTTCCTTTACAAAGTGAGAAGATTTCCTTTTACCAGATTAGAACCACAGAACAACAAAAATCTATATGCATTACAAGAATAACCTATTCTACAATATTAGAAAAAGGGAGCAGTTTCTTGAATCCAAGAGAATGACAAACTTCATACGCAAGATACGCCTCAAAGAAGAACAGCATTAACATCGACAAATTATGTAACACAGGACTTCTGCAAAATAGTTTCTTCTAAAATTAAGACGAGATTACCTTTTCAAGAGCTTGTGAAGATTGCGGTTCTTCCTTGAAAGTTACAGTCTTCCGATCCGTTCTGCGCTTCGGAGGTCCTGATGCGGATGTGGATCGAAGCAACACAGGAGTGACGGAGGCACTTCCGGACTTCTTTAGCAACTCTAGTTCTCTGGAAAGTTTGAATAGCTCTTCACTCTTTTTGACGAGGTCAGATTCCAGTTTGGCAATTTCAGTTCTTAACGTAGCAATTGTATTATCCTTATCAGTGTTGGATGATTGTAGTTCCTTAATGTTCCTCATAAAAGCATGTATTTTCTCATTTCCAAGCTCAATTTCAGTATGTTTGCTCCTCAATTGCTCATTCATGTCATGCTCCAGTTTGTTATATTGGTTCCAAATGAAATTCTTCTCTGCCAAGAGGGCAGAAATCTCTGAATTTTTCTCTGAGGTGAGCCTCTCATTTTCAGTTCTCAGCCTTCTCACCTCATCTTCCCATGCCTTGTTTCTTGTCTCTGCTTTTTCATTAGTAGCAGTCCTTGGTACATCCTGTGAATCAAATTGAACGTTCATATGACTTGTCTTCTAGTTTTGTCAATGAGCAGCGGTGGCAAATGATAATACAAACTTACAATGAAATCAGAAACAAAATTCATACAAGAAAAAGCAATCGAAACAACATACATTTGGCTCTGAGCATTTATGAGAGTGGTAGTCAAGCAATTCTCTGAAGTCTGCCAGTAGACTATCTGCATCTTCTGCATTTTTTAGGTGAGAAGTAAGTCCCAAATTGAATGCTGGGATGGCTAAAACTTAAAAGATCATGTCTACTCTGTAACAGTTAAGGCTACACATACCTGGGGGCGGGGCGAGTTCTCTCAAGAATAAAACCATCTAAAACAACCTATATTCCCAAAAAATTAGTTGTCCTTTTTTCTACTTTGGTTTTGGTTTCATTGAGCTTGTAAAACCCCATTAAAACAGAAGTCTTCTTAAGGCTCATTGGAAATGAAACCGGAACTGAACTGAGAGCCCTATGCATAAAGAAGTGTGTGTATATATCAGATATGTGGTTGCATGATTCTTTTATAGCTATCTGCAGTTCCCTACCTCGCAGGACCTCCATTCTTGCTAATTTGAATGATCCACTTTGACAAGCTTAGATTTTCACAAAAAGAAAGTTAAGTGTGCCATGAGATGAAATGCGAAGAGAAACTATTAGAACCAGAGTCGAAACTTGTTACAAGTGAGGTGACTTCTTGCAGATAGCACATCAGACTAACATAGCAGAAAGAACTAGTCTTATTTTAGTTTGGAAACCATCGAGATTAGAGTCAGTCAGAGAAAGTGAGACAAAAGAAGTAACAAACAGTTTATCCAGCCTCCGGATAGAAAGTTCAACCACTCATGTCACTCCCTCGCCCAGAGGTCTCTTTCCTTTCTTATTTTTCTCCTTTCATCCCTCCCTCCTTCACGTGACAGGGAAAAAAGCATGGACGAAGACCATAAAAGACACTCTCTAGCCTTCTCTCTCTTTTGGGTTAAAGACTTCAACTCTTTAAGTGGTTTGTGGTTAGGGAGGCTAGTCTCACACTCATTCCAACCTACAAAAGAGGGGATTTTCAGCTTTGTAGTAGGTACCCCATGTGTGAAGAGGCACTCTGAAGATGCTGGCCACCTCTTTTTGCATTGTAAAGTTACTAGTCATCTGTGGAGCATGTTTCTCGCAATCCTTGGCATGTCTTGGACCATGCCAAAATCCACTAAGGAGCTACTACAATGTTGGAACAAAGAAGGGCTGTGCAAGAAATCACAAAAGACTTGGAATACCATCCCCTTAAGCCATTTGATTGGACTGATTGGCTTGAAAGAAATGAAAGAATTTTTGAAGGCCATAAGAGAAATTTACATAGCCTTAAACAAAGATGTATGTTTTTGCTAGCTTTTTGGTGCAACCTGGTTATTGTACAGGATGCTGATGCAATTTTAGATACAATAGGGGATCTGCACAATCCATAGTTATGTCTTGTCGCACTGGCTTAGTGCAAGCATTTATAAAATCTTTGATTACTTGTAAAAAGAAAAGGCGAATTAACAAAAGCCCTCACACATAGTCCTGGGAGTCTAACAAGAAATTGAAAGATACATGCCAGTTGCTACTATCCATTCCGTCACAATTCATATGACCCGTATTCAGTTTTGAGATGTTCCAAAATGATTAACACCGTTCCCTTGATAATATCATTTTATACAGCTTTCACAACTTTGAATAGTTGAAATTCTTTAATTATTCAAATACTAATATTTGATGTAATGTTTTCTCTATCAAAATAAGTGTTTAACCATTACTTTAACATTCTTTTATACTATCACTAATATAATATACAAGTCAAATTAACATGTTCAATCAACAAACTTTATTTCAAACAACAGGTTAAATAATAAGAACCAACATTGAATAAGAAAAAGAAATTGAATGTTTAAAGCTCCACTATCAAATTGATTACTTAAACAGCACCATCGTTTAGGCAATGACACTGTAATTTGTGGCTCACACCAAGCACAACCATAGCCACGAAATTAAGCTCTTCAAAGTAATCAAAGTAATCAAAGGCAATAACCAAGAAATTGCATCAACGTTATTAGATAAAATAAGGAAAGGGCAACATCACATGAAGTGAAAGTTGTCATCTCCGAATTCTGCATTGCAACAAAGAACTCTACTACTTTTCTTATAACCGAGAAAACCCCGAGAGAGCTAGTAGCATACAGTGCAAAATCAATGGATAATGGGTCCGCTCCTCTAACCTTCTCCACTTAAATAACGGGATGCAATAAATAACTATATTTTCTACCCTATTTTAAACTAAGCGCATCAGGAAATAAATGGTGAAAAAAAAGAGAACCAAAATTTGCAATAAAGTTTTTTTATAACCGAGATATTCCCGAGAGCTAGTGGCACACAATGCGAAAATCGATGGATAATGGGCAGCTTTCTCCGCTTAAATACCAGGGTACAATAAAGAATTATATTTCCATACCCTATTTTAAACTAATCGCATCAGTAAATAAATGGAAAAGGAAAAAAAGATCCAAAAATTGAAATAATTTTTTTTGTTGTTGTAGAAATGGAACTCACCAAACTTCTTTTTGTACATAACAGCATCCCGTTTCTTCGAAACAACATGACGCTCTGCTTTCGCTACCTCAACAATGTGCTCCATCTCCTGAACTATAAAATCCTGCTTCATCTGCAAAACCCAACTTTTAAAAGAACCAAACTTTACCAAAAAAACCCTAAATTTAAACCAATCAAAACCCTAAATTAAGTTTTAAAAAAATGCAAAACCAAAGAAAATGAAAAGTGACCTGGAAAATTTGTTCTTGATAGCTATAACCATCATTTACCCATCGACCGTGCAGTAACTTTATCCGATCTTCAAGAATTTTTCGGTCTTTGGCAAGATATTCAAGCTGTGTCTGCTGTGATTTCAACATTTTAACTAAAAGGTTGAACACATTGTTCCAATTCTTCCTTTCTGAAGAATAATTCTTGCTTTTGGGCTTTGCCATTGAAGAGATGGATAGAGTTTGATTTGAAGGGAGAAAAAATTTCTGAGGTTCTTTTGAGTTACAGATGAGAGCAGTGGAAATGTAGGACCGTTAGAGTTCGAAAATTTGCTCAACGGTAAAATAAAGCTATACTTTCTGAAACGCCAGATTGAAAAGAAAGGAGCGCAGGGTTGGGTTTGGGCCTTCGCTGCTTCCTTTTGGGCCCTCGTAAGATTATCTTTACCCAAATAACCGGTCGGATTCATTATTTATTTTTACTAATTAAATACGATTCTATACATATTCGATATAAATTATACATATATTATATATTTAGTGTCTATCTTTTAATTTAAGCAATTGGATAATTGGCTATTTAGGTTAATCCTTCATTATAGTGATTAAAAGGGTGTTTGTACAAATATATTATCTCAGGCAAATTTTAAAAGACTAACTTTATCTTTAAAAATTATTTCATCTAATAGTTTTTAAAGGAAACATTTATCTAATTAAGTTAACAATGGCAATATGTAAAGAGTTTCTTCAAAAAATGTCATACGGTATGAGAATCCATAGTTTGTTTACAAGGTATGACAATCTTCCCCACTAAGAAGATTTTTTTTTTTTGGTTTAAAAGACTACTTCTATTAACTAAGGATGCGTTACGGGGAGCTGCACTAGAGCAGCAGAATTACAAACATATGGAACTTGACTACAAGTAGTACTATATATTCTATTTAGTTTTCTAATACAGGTGGTCCGACTAGACGAAGCATGATCAAACGTTAGACAAAAGGAATTGGAGTAAGCTTGCACTGGAAAGTGACTACCTCTGCAACGTCAATATTAATTTCCAGTGGTGTAAGCTTATGAACTAAAGCTAGTTGTAGTCCACGAAATAATGCTATTATTTCAATGTGGACCACCGAAGTGACTTCTATGTTACCTGCATATCCCATTACCCAATTCCCTTTGCCATCCCTAATAACTCCACCAAAACCTGCGAGCGGATTAGATTGTCTCATGGCCCCATCTGTGTTGATCTTAAAGAAGCCTCGTGGTGGCAGTTCCCATCTTAGATGTAAGGGAATTATTGATTTTTTGGTGTTGTCAGTCTTTGTGATGTAGTGAAATTCAGAGGCCATCTGATATATAATCGATGTTTAAGGGGGTATGTTTAACGTTTTCAAAGCAGTTCTTATTGCGAGTTGTCCATAGGTGCCAAAGAATGAAAGGGACAATTGTATGATATGGTATATATTTTAATTTATTAGGATTGTGTAGCATAATAATCTTTTTAAGCCAAACATAAGTGGGATCCTCCTTATAACGAGCATGTTGTATTAGAAACCCTAATTTCATATTAAACCAGCATTGTCGTGCATTAATGTATTTAAAGAATATATGAGAAATAGATTCCTCTTTCTGGTGGCATATGATATAAGTATTTGACGTAAGTATCCCTAACCTATGTAAGTATTGTTGGGTGGGTAGGCAGTTGTGACTCAACAATCACAAAAAGGTTTTGATTTTTGATAATGTACGTAAGTGCCATATCCACCCATGATGATTTGAAAAGTCAGTGGTTTTGGTGAGCGATTTGTAACAGGAGATAACGAAGAAGTGGTCTGATAAAGTGTGCCCCCAAATAATGCGATCGGGTAGTGTTGGGTAAGTGGGGAGGTAATACTGATTTATCCGTTGGATTAGAAAAGTAGGCAATTCCATGGACTATATGTGGTTAGAGATTCTATGAGTACTGAGTGCAGTTGCGACCAACATGTGTTGTTCTTAATATGGTAATGGGCATTGTATTAGGCTACGAACGTTAAGGCTAGGAGCTAAGCAATTATCATACCCAAAGTTGACATGTGCTCCTCGTGTGACTTGCCATACTAATCCTTTTTGGTACACTGCCCACCATTTGAAATATGTTTCCACATCATGGAGATTCTAGTGGGATTCCTTCGTGTGGGGGAGGAATATTTGAAAAGAAGAATGGATACCCATTGGGCCTGTGGGTTATGGAATAAACGCCACGTTGTAGTAGATAGTAGTGCTTTATTTTTTTTCTTAAGTTTTTGAATACCCAGGCCACCTTTATTTTTGGGTTTCGTTATCACTTCACATTTAATCATAGGCAAACGCTTTTTCTGGGAAGTAGTTCCCCATAGAAAGTTTTTTTGGTACTGTTCTAACCTAGCAAGCACATAGTTAGGCAGCTGAATGATTTTCATCAAATGGTTTGATATGGAGTTAAGGGTGGCTTTTATGAGTGTGGCTTTCCCTGCCATGGTGAGGTGGTTTGTTTTCCAGCCCGCAAGTCTATTTTTAAAATTATCAAGAATAAACTGGAAGTCTCTTTTCGTAGATTTGGATGTAAAAAGAGGAAATCCTAAATATTTGCTACAGTGTAGTCCTTCCACCATATTAAAAGACTTGAAGATAAAAGATTTGTCAATTTATGAATAATTTTTGGAAAAGAAAACTTTTTATTTTGCAAAATTTATTTTTTGGCCTGATAACTTGGTAAAATAATCGAGATGGTCAATAATGGTATGCCAACTGTCAGTGGTTATTTTGGAGTCCAAAATTATGTCATCAGCAAAGAAAAGGTGAGAATTTGGTGGAGCTCGTTTCTGTAAGGTGATTAGGTGCCAAAGGTTGTGCTCTACTGCAATGTTAATACTGCGGGAGAATATTTCCATGCGAAGTATGAAGAGGTAAGGAGATAAAGGATCTCCTTGCCTAATACCTCTGGTGGGTGTGAAGAAAGAGGTGGAAGTACCATTAAAAAGGATGGATGCAGTGGTTGTTGATATGTATGACATAATTAACGTAATTATGGGCTGAGAAAATTTAAAGTAAGTTAGGGTTCTGCGTATAAAATCCCGTTCTAAACGGTCAAATTTTTTTTCAAGATCTATTTTAAGAAGCATATTCGAGCATTTTGATTTAGAAGTTCTAAAGTTGTGAAGTATTTCCTGTACTATTATAGCATTGTCTGAAGCTCTACTATTTTTTTGAAAAACAGATTGTGATGTGTGAGTTATCTTATCAAGGAAAGGTTTTATGCGATTAACAATAATTTTGGTTATGACCTTGTACATGGTATTACATAAACTTATGGGTCGAAAGTGAGCCGGCATGGATGGACTTTGCATTTTTGGAATCAAGCATATAAATGTTTGATTCAATGCTGGAGGAATGTGTCCAGATAGGAAGATATTTTTGCAAAAAGGAATAATTGAATCTTTAATTTGGGCCCAGAATTTTTGAAAGAATAATGGGTAAAGGCCATCAGGTCCCGGAGATTTATGAGGATGAAAAGAATATACGGCGCTAGTGATTTGTTCATCCGTTAAGGTGTCTAAAAGATTGCTTATCGAAGCATCATTGATAGTATTGAAATTGGAGTAAGAGTGATTTTTATTATAAAATATATGGCTTATTTGGTACAGATCTTTGTAAAAATTTATAATTAGATTTTTTAATTGGTCATTGTCATAAATCTAGTTGCCATTTGGATCTTTAAGAGCAGTAATCCGATTATGTCGTCGGCGTTTAAGAGCTGTTAAATGGAAAAATCTCGTATTTGCATCGCCCTCGTTTAACCAAGCTACACGAGATTTTTATTTCCAAAAATTCTCTTCCACTTTTAAGATGTAGTTAAATTGATAGATGAGCTCTTTTTCTAAAGTTTGTAAAATATTACTCGTGGGATAGTTGGTGGAACTTTGGATACCCACCAGTCGTGCCCTAAGTTGATTTTTTTGCTTAAAAATATTGCCAAATGTGTCCCTATTCCAAATTTGGCTAAGGTAATAGAATTTTCAACACCTTCCAAATAATGTGGGCATGTCAGCCACACATGTTGCACAAGTTTAGGAAAATCTTGGTTTGTAAGCCACATTGAATCAAATCTAAAAGTAGATATTCTGGGAGGACGTATAGCGAGCATGAGTGGACAGTGATCGGAGTGCGTCCTAGATAAATGATGAACTTGAGCTTCAGGATATAATTTTAGCCATTCATAATTAGCTACTATTCTATCTAATCATTCTAAAATTATTCCACCGCGTCTACATTTATTTGTCCAGGTGTACTTACTCCCTCTATAACCCAAATCAAATATATTACAGTAATTGAAGCAGTTTAATAAGGAGTAGGCTCTATTATTATTAATAGGGCATCCTCCAAACTTTTCATTGGAGAAGAGAATATCATTGAAGTCTCCTCCCACAACCCAAGGCCCTTTATAATTATCTGCAACATGCATTAAGTTTTGCCATAGAATTTTTCTATAATTTAATATAGGACTTGCATAAATAGCTGACAACATGAAAGAATGGTCATGGTGACATACATGGATTATGCAGTGTATTTCTTGGTTGATTACTGCAACTTCGGAAACTGTAACAATTGAAGCATTCCATAATATTACGATCCCTCCTACCTGTCTCTCAACAGGTGCTTGGGACAAATTAGAGAAATCAAAATCATCCCTTAGGACTGCATGGTCTTATAGGTGTGTTTCAAGGAGCACAACTAGTGGCGGCATGTAGTAGTTTAACATGGAGCGAAAATTTCTCCGAAAATCAGGAGATTGAGCACCCCTACAGTTCCAAATAACAAAATTCATAGAGTTAGTACATAGGGGTGGTGGTTGTGGGATTTGCGCCACTGTGTCCATTGATTGCCCTCGTCGATGTGAGTCTGCATGGTCTCCCTCATAGTTGGGGTGATGACCACGACAAATTTCCCTGCCTCCAAATTCGTTGTTAGTTGTAGTTTGATCAAGCACTTGGTCACCTCCTGTGGGTAGTTGAGTAGTATCTTTTTGTCGTATTGTTCCTTTAGGATAGAGATATGGAAGCCCTTAACCATACTGGCTCCGTTCTTGTCTCCCTTATCTCCTCTATGACTACTGCGATTTCTTACGGAGTTAGAACTTCTTGTTTGTTTGGAGTTGGTGGTTGTGGGATCATGGAGCTGTTTGTTGGAGTAAGAGGTTTAAATAGGCTCATTGGGGACATGAGTGGATATAAAGGAGGCATTTGCATTACTTTGTGAATCCAAGGAATATGAGAATGTGTGGTTGGGTAAAAAGGCAGGTCTGGATAT